ATCTTAATGGCTACCAAGGGAATCGCTAACCTGCTATCTTTATGGTCTATATCATTCTTTTCTTTATTTATCTCATCTAGACATGTACCATTAGCAATAAAACATTACAGTTTCCTCTCATTCAATGGTTAAAGACGAGTACATTATTCGAAAGCAATTAGATATATAGAAATCTGCAGAAATAAGGCACCAGTAGGCCTAGTTATAAGTCATACCTATAAAGAGCATAATTTTTGGATAAAATAAGGATCATTAGTTAGAATAATGTGGTAATAAAATCAAAAATAAGTACTGTTTAATCAAAAAAAGCTTATATATTCGAAGAAGTTTGTTATTTTTAGAAGAATGAGCTCCTTTCTTTAATTTGTATGCACATAGATACAAATCAAGAGTATGTTAAGTAATTAGAATGTAAAAAAAAATATGATTTTTATCATAAACAACTAGAATAGAAGTAACATTATTAAGGAAATGATATTTTATTATCCAGTAATTTTTTAAGATTATTACACTAATTGGTTTTTTTACTGCTTGTACACACATTTTCAATACAAACACAGCGTATAAGGATCACCTACGGTATATATGATATAAATGTATTTCTTCTCGATTGCTATTTGTACAAAATGCAACTATATTACGTTAAGTTATAATGAAATTGTATATAAGAGATGTATACTGTATATATAGATAAATTTATTTATGTAAAAAAATGATATACAAAACATGCTGTATATATTGATATACATGTATATACAGTATACATGTATATTACTTTGTACATTATATCTTTTACTAATGTGAAGGACCATTATAACTCTTTCTTTGAAATATTTAATTCAGTGAACTAATTCATTGGTAAATATAGTATTTTTAATTAATATTTTTGTATTATTCATTGATACATAAGATTATTGAAAAAGTCTCAGGTTATTGACCTTGAGGAAACTAGTAATGCAGTATACGAATAATGAAAGTTGTCATAGATAATTAAAACTGTATATAATATATAGTAAGCTCTATAATAAAGTCTATTTTATTTGTTTTGACACCATTTATGTGCAGTAAATATTCTCAAAATTCAAAATCATGAAATAATGTTGACTTTAATTAATTTAATATTTTTAAATTGACCTAATTTGATATATGTTTATTATTAAAATGCAAAAGGTACAAATAAAATTTATTAAATAATTAATAAAGAAAGAAATCTGATTAACTTTCTTTAGTTGAACATTAGTTGTTAGACGTTTAGTAGAGTGAGAGCTTTTTTTCGAAAGAACACTAGACAAGACACGTTGGTGTGTAGAGAACAGAGAAAAGTAAATATTTCTTTTGCATAGCTTGTTTATACAAATGATATTGAAATATCAACTAAATGGAAGAAAGGAGGATGAAATTAAGTAAATTAACTATTATCATCAGATTCAGTAGACTGGTATACAAAACTAAATTATAAATTTTACTATTCTGATATATCATCCAATAGGATAACTAAATATATATGTTGTTCACGCATATGTGTATCATCCGAACTATGGAAGAAATTTAAGTCTTTTCTAGAATATAGAGAATGAATATTAACACTCTTTGCTTTTCTTTTAAAATCGTCCCTGATCTGTAATAAGAGTAGGAATAGAAAATTTTTTCCTATAATATCTTTTCTTCCCACGTATTTCTCATTAATTTTATCAATTTAATTTCTCATGCTAAAGTAATTTGTGTTATTAATGACACAATTTTAGATATTTGAATGAAAGTGTATGAAAATATATTTCTTTACAGGATATCATATGTCTTTGACGTCCAGTTCCGCTATAGTCCTTTAATATAATGAACATTTTTTCTATAGTATTTTCAATGCCTTCCTATTTAAGAGTGACAAAAGTGAAAATTGATTATCTCTTATATCTTGGCTTTTTAAAATTTGGGACATAAATTAATCTAAAATCATTGGATTCATTTGCAATTGTAGTCATTTCTATCTTTGAACATGATAAGAATTTCATGAAATTTTGATAATCTTTTACCATTATGGTAATGTTACTTTAAATAAGACTATTAAACCATAGAATAACTGACTTTCAAAAATGTAAGACAATACTAGTTTACTAGTTGATATATCATTAGCCCTTAGTCATCCTTTTTAATGGCAAAGATATCCCTAATTTATTAAAAATTGTAATGCATGTAAAGCTAATTTATCATAGTTTTTAATTTCTTTAAAACTTGACTGAATATACTCAACTCTATAAATTATCATTTTCCATGTAAAAATAGTTTAATCAACGACCTAAGTTTGCACTACTTTTCATTTAAATATTTAAAATAAAAAGGGCTTATTGTTTTATATACAAAATGTAATTAAAGTAATATTTACTTTTTATCCGGTAGAGAGATACGATGCTGTGTCCTCCTTGTCCAATAATTAGTACTAGATATTTTTTACATGTCAGTTATTATTCCTAGTGCAATTTTACAGCAAAGTTTCATAGTTACTCATGAAATGATCTACCAAAGGAAACAAAGAAAGAGTTGGAAATACTTTTCCATCAATTAAATATTTCATTTTATCGCATTTCTTTTTTCTTCTACTTCTAAAGAAGATAAAAAGTTAAAACTCATCTTCAATTTGCATATCTCCTTAAAAAAGATATTGTACTACCAATAAAGTGACAGACGAAGGTTATTAGTATGATGCCATTAATAAGCGAAGTAAACATTTCTATTATTCAACGACATTTGAGGAATTATTTGAGTAATGACAGATCATTTGGGATAAAGTTGACCAGTTGAAAAGGGCAGAATAGCAAAATTATTTATTAATGTATTGTCATTTTCATTATTAAACATATCTCGCTATGTTGATATCTGAGAGAAAGTGAGTAATTATTATAATATTCATTTAAGGAAGTGATAAAAAAAACTATGAAAAAAATTTTCATATTTGTCATATCATCTATAAATAAACATACAAAAAAAAGAGATTCATCATATTTTCACATATTTTTTACTCTGTAAATAATTTTAAGAAAATTCAATAATGGAATATTAGAATAAATCGTGTCAAACGTGATATAAAAGTCTAATCTTTAAGTTACTTTTGAAAACACCTATTCGTATTCCAACTATACATTCTATATATAAAGTCAGAAATCGTTAAATATTTATTTTTTAAGCTTATAAGGTAAAATACAAAATACAAATTTCTAAAGCTAAGAGCCTTTACTTTGTATTGAAAATCACCTATAAAATTAAAAATATTAATACTTTAAAAAGACATAACTTTTGTCTATAAAAAAAAATAAAAGCATTCCTCCTTCTCTCCGCCCCTTTAATCTCTAGAATAGCATATGTAAATTTTTTGCATTTGCTGATGTAGCTTTTGCAAGTAGAAAAGTTGATTCTTCTTCATAAAGTATGAACAATAGTTGAAAAGAATCTTTATGAACGTTCAATTAATTAAAATATATTGAAATTAATGAATATTTGTTGATTTTCCCGAAAACATACATTCTATATTAAAAAGGAGATAAGAGATTAAATAACTCAAAGTCTCTTAAGCCTTAAAAAGGAGTATCTGGTATGCAACAAGTCCATTTTTAGTGTCAAACCAGACAGAGTATTTAACCTTATATATTGTTTATCGTTATACTATACTTGAAAATATGATTTCGCATAAAGAGTAATTTATACCTGTCCATACATTAATTCTATTAAGGATTACAAAAAAAGAATCTCCCTAACTAAAGATGTCATAAATCCTATTTATATAATTTTAACTGCTTTATTAATATTTTGATATATTTTTACAGTAGATAGATAATGTAAAGAGAAATATAAAAAATTGGGTATCTTTATTACTCTAATTCATTCTTTCTATGCGTATAGCAAATTAATATGTATTTCTAAAAGATGTAAGCAAATTACGTAAGAAAATACACAGTAGAGAATAGCAAAAGAAAAGAACTAGAGTTTAAAAATAACTTAATCAGACAAGTGTTTATAGATCCTTGAAATCAGTTGTTTATTCTTTAATTGTCAATCAATTATTATAAAAATTGTATTCATATAATAAATTTCTTAATCAATTCTTGTTCAATTTTTACCTTTTCATAATGGCAAAAAAGATATTTACAACAATTACAGTTTTATAGGAATTGCTTTCAAACTTTCATAAATCAATAGAGAACATATATTGTTTTCCTTTCTTCCATTGACGAAACCCTCTCTGTCTGCATCTTTCTATTACAAACACTCTTTCTCTCTCTCTCTCTCTCTCTCTCCCTCTTTCCATTTATCTGTCTATCTATCTTGGTATTTTCTCACTCTTCCTATTACCAACATGTATAAAAAAACATATTAAATAACGTACTCGTGTAAGTAGGAATCATTATGGCATATTTTTTTTCTCGCCTACAAAACAACAACTATTTATATTTACAAACTATGCACACAAATATTCATAATCTTATTGAATAATATATAAATATATACAGTATATGTATATATGTATATATATATATATATATATATTAGCATATATACATTATATGTACCATAGACATATTGGTTTCTTTTAAATTTTAAACATTAACTCTGGGCTTTATTAATTATACAAAATGCTTTTTCATAAACTTTTCTGCAAGTAATGCCATCTACTGTCTAAATGGAGAAAATCCATTTATAATTATGAAACAATCATATTTTAATTATTTTTCAATGCTGTTAACTTTAAATATTGTATAAAAACGTCAAAGAAAAGATAAACGGAAAAAACAAAGTGAATATATTTAATTTCTAATCTTTAGAAAATATTTAAATCCTTATTCCTTTTATTCAAGTTTATTTTATTAATTATAAAATCAAAGTTTTCTTACATTTGTTTATTTGTTCCTTTTTTTGCCCAGAAGTTATTTTTTTTAAAGGAAAATAGATAAAAAATAGAATTATTCAATAAGTGTTTTTTTTTCTATTACATTTTTTTTTATAAAAAAAAAGGGACTTATAAAACTTTGTTTTCAACTTTTATATAAAAAAAATAAAAACCTTTTTTTAATCGTTTCATAAAAATTGAACAGAGAGGAACGAAGATAGAAATATAAAAATATTAAATGAATAAGAAATATATAATTGAGAAATCAAAAAGGAGAAATTTTGTAAATTCTTCCTCTCTTTGTTCTTTTTTCTTTGAATTACTTTTACAAATGATAGCAATTTGAAGAAGAAAAAGGTAAGTGATAACATTTTCTTCTTTTATAAAAGAGCTATTTTGAACCTGAAAACTCAATAGTAGGCATGGTAAAAGGTCCTATACTAAGTCGTCTATCAGATCTTTGCGATGTAATTGACCCACTACTAAGCCTTCTTTGTTGACTCTTCTGGTCAGGAACTTGAAGAAGTGTTACAGGTCCAATTGACAACCTCCTAGCCTCATCTTTGGCCTCTGGTTTTTGTAAGGTAATCGGTCCTATTGATAATCTTCTTTGTTCAGTCTTTTCTTCTGGTTTTTGGAGGGTGAGCAAACTAAAGGATGATTTACGCCTTTCTTGTTTTGGCTCTGGGGTTTGTAAGGTGTTAAATGAAAAAGGACCTATATTAAATGTTCTAGTTTCAGGTCGTCTTTGTTTAGGTGGTGTTCTCTTTTGAAAGAAGAACGTCCTCGATTCTTTATCATCATTACAAGATCGTTGAAAATTTCTTAGATGTTTTGTGAGAAAATTCTCTTCGGTTTTAGCCGCTTTCCTTCCCTTTAAATAGTGTCTATATTTTGACGGAACAGCATCCTCTACGCGTTTAACACAAGCAGCAAAAGGATTGTTTCCCATTTTCTTTAAAACTGTAAAGAAATAAATTTATGAATAATAAATATTAATTATAGAACAATAATAAAGTAACAAGGCGTACGAAATCTTTCTTAAATTGGAAAATGGTATGATATATAGAAAAATAATAGAATAATGCACTATAAAAATTGTATATATTGTAAATTTATGTTAATATTAAGTCTGAGTGACAAAAATATAGTCAATTATCGCGTTTCTATTAAATTTAACGACTTGATAATATAATAAATAGATTTAACCTACACCTAATGCTAGCAATAAATATTATAAGAATATATTCTTCCTATATTAAATTAATTAGATACTATATTGAGACAAGGGTAAATTATACTTTTTATTATATTTCCTTTAAACGCTTTTAGACAAAGGCTTCTTTACAAGTTCTTCTTCTCTCTTCATATTATGCAACATAATATTTTTCTTTCATCTAATTAGCTTTTCACTTTAAACTTTAACTAATTAGTTTTCATATTTTGGGAATTTTTTAAACAGTAAAAAATGTGGTACAAAGTCTAAAAAACATTTTTCAAACCTTTTCCTACAAAAATATTTCTAAAGCGTACGAATAGAATCTGCAATCAGTATAATAGTATATTTATATTTTTGCCCCAGGGTGAGTGAGTGACTATTGGATCATATATCGGGTCAATTTGGAAAATATACACTTGTTCGCCTGTTTGCATTGTCAGAAAAGTAGGCTTAACGAAGACTCAAGACGTTTTGTGACAAAGTTGGCGAAGGCTTAATCACTCAAAAAGTTGTTAGTGAGCATGGATTTAAGAAACAAGTAAACTTGTAATTATTTCTCTCTACTCTCCTCATCTTCTTCTTCCTCTACCCCTTCTCTTTACTATCTTTATATCCTGTTTACACTACCCCTCCTTCCTTTACTAAGCAGCTTTAACTCCTAAGTTTTTTTCTCCTATTAAATCAGTCTCTATCCCATTGGAACCCCTCCCTTTCTCTCTCTCTCTCTCTCTCTCTCTCCCAATCTATATCTAAATTTTCTTATTTGATAAGTTTTTTTGCCCCAAGTCTAGCTATAGAGGAAATTCTTCCTTTTCAGTTTCGTATTGAAAACCACAATGTGCAATCAGCTATTATAGTAATGTTAGCAGTTATTAAGGACAAAGAAAATATGCGTCAATTTTGACATATTTTCTATGAAAAATATTTGACAAGCAAAATGGTCCATTTTACACAATTAAATATATGACATTATTCAATCCTTTGTACTGAAACCAAGATTATCTCCCTTAGAAAGAAACTTTGATGCAACTTACAGGGAAAGCTATTAATAAATGATTATCAGGCTAAAATGATAATAGAATTTCTCATTTTTTAGGCATTTACCTATTTAAGAGAGTAATTTTACGCCTCTCTAATGAATCTTGATTGGTTCCATTTAACCTCCCAATTGGAATAATAGAAATATTTGTTTTAATGCAAAAAGAACCAGAGAAATCTCTCTGAAACAGAAGATCTTGTATAGAAAAAGAAATTCTTAATAAACTTTGATTACAGATGTCAACATTAAGACTTAATCCTTGAATTATTTGCTAAAGGTCTTCTCAACCTTCATATTTCACTCGTTAAAGACATTCTTTATTTTAAAAATACTTCAATTCTTGTTAAATAAACTTGATATAAGATGTAAATGAAGACGTTGACCTGATTTAAGAGAATATCACACAAATATAATTTTTTTTATATAACATTGAGTAATGAAAGTAGTCTGCATTTCGGAAGAAATAAAGCAATTTCTATATAGTAATTTAAAAATATGATAATTTTCTTTCTCTACAAAGAATGGACCAAAATATTTTATTTAATTTATCTCTTTGGTGAATTTTTTATCTTCGTATCATACACTCTGGTTGTATTATATATAAAATATAAAAAGCGTCTATTTTATTACAAAACCTTAATCATACAAACAACTATACATGTATATTCTATATGTAGAAAATATAATAGAACATTATAAAGAAAATTTAAAAGAGTCCTTATTTCTGGGAAAACTTTAAGTATTTACCAGTTTTTTCCAATGATATTAGTAAGAAATACAACAATTTTAAAAAAAGAAAACTATTAAATTGTCCAAAATTTCTCAGAATTGGACATTCGCTTCCTTTTTCTTATCAACATAACATTTCCATGGTTACGCCATATACATTTTTTTAAAAAGAAAATAGCTACATTCAACAGGTAAATCGTGGTATGATTTTGCTATATGATTTCTGGACATAATTAATTTTGTGATTACTTAAGAGGCATTTGATTATTATTAAAATAATTACATTTATCTAATTTTAGATGGCTGCTGTCTTTTAAAAAGTATAAAACACTATATATAGTTGTTTAATGTTTATTAATCAAGTTGTTATTTAAAAGATAACAAAAATTCTATACTTTCTTTAAATTTTCCAAAATTTTCCTTACTAATTATATAAATAATTTGCTTGACATTTCTGATTATTTTTAGGTCAGAAATAGGCGTCAAAATTATTCTTCATCATTATAGAATTTTTTTCTACATGATTGCTCCTTTTCTCTGTTGACGAGTTTGGGTGACTTCTTTCTCATTAATTTTACTTTTTAACTTGTCAATCTACAGTTTTCTTATAATTTTTTTATTTATACTTCAAGAATCCTTTCCCCTTCTCTAATTTGTTATAATTTTTTTCTCAGAAACTAGTTTAGTAGATAACTGAGGTATGAAATTAGCTCAGCATATGATGATACTGTTAAATCTTTTTGGCTACATTTCCACTAAAGATAGTTAAGTGGGAAGAAAATAGCGTGAAATTTTAGTCCTTTTTTAGCAAATTTACAATGCAAAATTTTAGGTTACTTACTATAAATATCTCACTTTTTCATTGTCATCTACTTACTTCTTTCGTACTATATTAACAAATTACAGTTGATTACAACCATCCCTTAAAAACAGAAAAAAAGAAGATGACAGCCTATAACAAACTCATCACCATTTAAATTGAAAACGTGATTTTTCATGAAAATAAGTAAGGCCAAACCAATTGAAGAAGACTAGCAATAAAATTCTAGACAAAAACCACTCAGTAGTACCTACTCTTAGTTTTTACTTCCATTAACGACCGCAAAAAGTCATCAGTTGCCCGTGACATTTTGCCTTCTACTTTGATTCAGCCTTGCCAGAACGAAATAAAGACTACAGCAAAATAAAGAAAGTTTTCAAATTGTACATATATATTTATATATTGTTCTCAAGAGTGAGTAAAACTTGGCACACAGTCTACATAGATCATACACACAGCTATATATATAATATATATAAACGTATGTACGTTTAAGACTAAACGTTAGCAAAATACACTCTGATTTGTACAAGTCTTCTCGTTCGTTAAATTTGTACAAGATGCTCTTTTTGATAAATAACTTGAAACTTTCAATAAAAAAAGATTGATACAAACGAAAGATGTCTTAACTTCTTATCGGCCAGAAGGTGGAAGAGGCAGAATTAGATATAAATAGAAATAAATAGAGATATAGAAGAGGGAGGATATAAAAACTTAGTAACGGCAGGTGAGATGGAAATGATAGGAATATTAAGTGTAGGCAGGAAATTGGATATTTACGGTGATAGTAACAGTCCATCAATCCTTGTGAAATGTGAATGTCGTGACATTTTCTTAGCCGATTCGCTTAACATATATTACAGAAAAATATACTTACATACAGAAGTTATTTGCTGTATATATAATATTTATATGTTATATTTCATTGTTTTTCCTCTTTATCTCTCTTTCTGTCAGGCTTTTCAACTCTGTCTCTCTGTCTCTCTCTCTTTCTCTTTCTGTCTTTCTCTTTGTCTTTTTCTCACTGTCCTGCTCTCCTTCTCTCTCTCTCTCTCTCTCTCTCTCTCTCGCTCTCTCTTACTGGCTCTCTCCCGGCTGCCTATTCTCAGTATGAAAGTATATTTTTCTTTAAACATATTTCCTTGAAATATACATGTACATATGCATTGTTTGTGAAATCTATCTTTAAAAACAGGATTTAATTAATATTTTATTAATAGATCAAAAAGATTTTGTTGTTTTTTTAAAAAAAATCCAGAGTAATAAAAGTAAAAGATTTTAAAGCGAGAAAAGGAAGCAACTGCAAATAATAAAGAGAATGACAGTAAAGTTTAGAATGATAATTGTAAAAGAAGTGATTTCCTCTTACTTTGTACAGTGGGGAATACAAAAGGAAATATTTTATAGGAAAATGTTAAGACTTGACAATTGAAGAAGAATATACACTAAAAAATATATTTTGGTAGATTATTTTTAGGATAAAACCGTTTGTTTTTCTTTATAAAACTCATCCGTAAATACTCCGTGCAAGGCGAATTGGCACGATAATAGACTATCAATCAATTTTCTACTAAGAAATTTACGATTTAATGGTATAGAACTCTTACATCTCGTTGTAAGTGGTGACAAACAGGTGGAAAAGAGTATATAAAATGGCTAAAACTTAAGAAAGAAAATATTTCTCCAACAGAATTACATAATAAGGTAATCGATAGGAGAGGTATTTACAATACTCTAATTTATGGAGTTGTTTGTTTAAAGACTTTTTATATATCGCCGGATATTTTCATTCTTTGGCTTATGCATTAAAATATTTTTCAAATTGCTTGCAATAGAAAATAACGACAAGAAGCAATTAAAAAGTAAAATATTGATACAATTAGTTGTAAAAGTACAACAAAGGTATCAAAGGTTTGAAACAATTGATAATATATAATGCCTTGGGTTCTCTTTTTCTTTTTTGTTTGATCATCAATAACAGGGTCTAGGTGCTACCCAAGTTGTTTTGACATTCCATTAGACTAAGAGATGTCTAACTATTTAATAATTTATGGCATATTTCAAGAAGGCTTCTCTCAAAGTCATAAAAGAAAAGAAGGAAACGATAAGTAAATTATTGACAAAAACTGCTTTAATTTTCGTCTGTAATTCTTATT